ACAAAGGACTATTATCTAGAATATATAAAGAACTCAAAACAATCAGCCCCCTCAAATATAAAGATCCATTTCAAAAATGGGCATCTGAAATGAATAGACATTTCTCAAAGAAGTAAAAGCAGCAAGTAAATATATGAAAAAATGTTCCACATCACTGATCATTCAAAAGAGGCAGATGAAAACAACACTGAATTTCCACCTCACCCCATAAAGAATGGCTGCTATCAAGAAATCACACAATAATAAATGTTGGCGGAGTTGTGGGGAGAAAGGAACCCTTCTCCATTGTTGGTGGGAGTGCAGACTGGTGCAACCACTGTGGAAATCAATATAGAGATACCTCAAAGAGCTTGAACTGGAGGTTCTCTTTGACCTAGCCATCCCTGTGCTGGGTATCTTTCCAAAAGAACTAAGAGTCATATCACAGTGATGTGTGCGAAACCATGTTTATATTGGCACAGTTTGTAATAGCTAAAACTTGGAAACCGCCCATTTGCCCATCAGTTTGGAAATTGGATAAAGAAGATGTGGTTTTTCTATAAAATGGAATATTACTCAGCCATAAAGAATGAGAAATTAGATTCATTCATAGGAAAATGGATACATATTGAGGATATACTCCCACGTGAAATAAGTCACACATGTGTAAATACTGAATAGTTTCTCTGGTGTGAATAAACTTCAATAATACATAAAATCTTAATAAAATTACTGACATTGTGAAATGGGAAGAAATGGGCTAAAGGTGTAGGGAAGGTGGGATGGATAGGGGAAGGGTATTAAGGGAAAACAAAAAAATGTGGGATAATGAAAAGATGGAAATAAAGTGTTTGTAGATGGGGAGGGGAGGAGGTGATGGGAAGGCAGGGACAAGGGGAAAAATGAGAACCAAGACCTGTCATGTAGAGGTACAAGATCCCAACAATGAATGTAACTGTACTGTATCCCTAAAATGTACCAATAAACTCAATTAAAACTAAAAAAATAAAATAAAATTAGGGCTAAGGATTTAGCTCAGTAGTTTTGCCGCCTACCTAACAAGTGCAAGGTCCTGAGTTCGATCCACTGTACCCCCCCAAAAAAGATTGAAATGAGTGTAAATTTTTCCATAGTTTTCAGGATTATTAATGTTATATGATTGAGCTCAGAAACACATTTTTATCAGAAAAAAATGAAGTATGCAATTCTGAGAACATGTTTCCTACATTCATTAAGACTCGTTTTGCCTAACATGAAACAACTTCACAACTTGCTCCATATTTGGAAAAAAGGATAAGCTTTATCAACATATTTTTGGTCTGCATCCTGTTTAGTTCTCCCTCAACTACCCACGTGGACTTCCTGAGAATAACTGTTCTGTGCCAACCACAGTGGGAGGTCCTTCCCCACACATACTTCTCTCATGGAATGCTGAAAGATATAACCACGTCCATGTTTCTGAGGAAACAGCAGTTTGGATGAAAACATTCAGGCTCTGGAGAAGCTGCCAGTCTTTGAATACTGGCTTTACCACCAATGTCACCTGGTTACTGTGGGTCAGCCTCATCTATTTTTATTCCTTTCACTTTAAATGGGAACAGTGATGGCATGTACCTATTTTATGAGGTTGTTGTGAGCATTAAAGAAGCTAACTACAATAATGTCTGACACATATAATATATAAAGCACATATAATACTGTCTGGCATATATACTTAGTTAACATCAAACAAAAAGTTCAGGGAAGTTACTCTTTGTTGCAAAATGAGGACAGTGTACCCAGGTTCATATACCTACACAGCGGCATTAGCTGAATTCAGACTTAATTACTGCAGACCTTACATCCGATCTCTTTTTTTGTAACAGCACCACAAAAGCTGGGAGAATAGTTAAAAGACCAAAAACCAGGTAAAAACTGTTTATTTTAATAATGTTGATCTCTGAAAAGGCAGCATGAAAAGAGTAAAAGAGCAAGCAAGAGAGTGCAATACTTGTAATTAAAATTTACAAGTCGTCAATAAGATGCACAGCAGAAAATTGGCAAGACTTGAAGAGTCACTTAATAAAAATATACAAAATAAGCAATAAGCACACATTTTAGTAATCAGGGAAACATAAATTGAAATTTATATATCATTGAATATTGACCAGATTGGCAAAAACTAAAGTCTGCAAAGAACTGTAAGTAAAGAGAACTCACACGAGAGCAGCCTCTTAGGGAAAGTTCGGCAATATGAAGAAAAGATGGTGCTGACTTCCACACAATGTAGCAATTTCCAGTCTTAGGTATATACGGAGAGTAACGGTCTTCAATTAGGAAGACCATAAAACTTTGCAAAGGGGAACTGAGTGCTTCATGGAAATTGGTTCTGCTCTTACCTGTACTTTCTTCTTAGCATGTGCTTTACAATGTGCCTAAGTCTGAGGACCCTTTCTTTCCCCTACCTTCTCTTTCCCAATCACCCCTCACAAAATAAAGGCACACCTCATCCAGCAATTTACATTATGCATTCCCATGAGGAATAAAACTCGGGGAGAGAATGTGACAATTCCCTTATTCAAAGCACCATAAATTAGCCTCCTTGTCCTAATTCTATGTCATCATTACATTTAGCAATTACTTATCAGAATTTTTAATACTATTCTGACCAATTATGTACTAATCAGTCATAGAAATAACTCACTCAAGGGTACATTTTAAACATTTGGAACACTGAGGTGACAGAAAATTGTAAAAGGTAATTCTGATTTATTTACAGTCATTAAACTATTACAGATAACTTACCTTTCTGTATTTCCATTTACCCATTACAAATGCAAAAAAGCAAAAAAAAAATTCATGAGCATTTATAATTGCTATTTAATCCATTTTTAACGTAAATTACTTTACGTTCTCTTACCATTATTTAAGTATCACCAGGATATACAACCAAAAGTTGGTTGTAAATTATTTTATCCTCAGGAAATGTATCATGGAATTTCTAAAATACACAAAATACCTGCATAAACCAATAGAGTCGGCCTATCATCTCTGCAGATTCTGTATCTGAGAATACAACCAGGTGCAGTTCAAAAATATTTTAAAAGAAGTTACATTGTTGCTGGAGGTTGCCTCTGTACAGAACACCAGACATGTTTTTGCCATTCTTCCCTAAATAAAAATTCTTGGGGGCGTGTTTTGGGGGTTTCTGTTTGTTTTTTTTTAAGACATGGTCTTGTTATGCAGATCAGGCTGGACTCAAGCTTGTGCTGATCCTCCTGCCTCAGCCTCCCCAGTGCTGGGATTATAGGTATGTACCACCACACTTGGCTTAACAATTCTTTACATAGCATTTATATTTCATTATGCATCATAGGCAATCTATATTATTTAAAGTCTGAGGGAAGATATGCATAGGTTATATGCAAACACTATACCATTTTGTATAAGGGAGTTGGGTATTCTCAGATTTTGGAATCTGTAGTAAGTCCTCAGGAACGAATTTCTCAAAAATACCTAGGGTTGACTAAAAATCCACTAATAACACAATCATTTTCTTGTTTTTTAGTTAATTTCATTCAAACAATATGTATTCTTATAAGAAAATAAACAGCCCTATTATTAAATTGAATAAATAAATATACATATAATTAATGTATAAAATGTTGGATAGCAACAAGAACAGTAACAAATAATGCTACAAAGTCGGAAGTAATATTATTTTATTAAAGAGGAAGCCAGTGCAAAACTCTTTCAGCAGGAAGTTGCTAGCCATTTTTAAGGATAGCAAGGAAGTTAACAGTGACTGGGATGTGATGTGGTGGCATGTTCTTGAATAAGTTTAGGGCTCTTATACAAACCAATAGTGATCCCAGCAGTTTTGATGAGTTCTCGAATATTTTAAATTAACTGCATATAACTTTGCACACCAAGTATCTCTTCCAAATACAAACATGTATAATTGGCCTTTCAGCAGACTCAACATGAAATCTTTTGCATATGTGAATTGTATTAAGTGATAGAACAGCAGCAAAAAAGTGAGAAAACAACATAAATCAGAAAAAAAAAAAAGTTCTGGATGAAGTATGAGGCTAGAAAGTTTAGCTCTGCCAGGTAATTTTCATGTTAGTACCTTAACCTAACTTCAGAAAATCCTTACTGCCTATGTGCTATAGACAAGATGAAGAAACCAATATGTACAATGATCATGATTGACTGGTGATTCCCTGCTTGGGTATTGCAGAGGGCTGCACAGTCTAAGCCAGGTGGGCATAAACAAGAAGTGGTACTATGACTGTCTATGAAAGATTCATGCTTCTCACTTACAGAATTGTTTCTGAAAAATGACTGATGCCATAGAAAGATTATTTTCCAGGTGCCCCTTCAATCATACTGGATGTGCAACTCATTGTCACCCTCAGAATGAGCTGGGGATGTAACACTGCTGAGGCAAGCTCATTAAGCAGGTGAGCCTTCTCTTTGCTTCCGATTCCCATCATCCAGTTTAAGGCTGAAGACTGTAACCCCTGGGGTGACAATCACAAGATGGAAGGCACCGGGGCCCTGAAGTCACCGTGTGGAAAGCTGCCTGACCACTACACTGTCTCATTTGTGCAGAAATAAATTCTTAAATTAATGAAAGTTTGATGTTGCCTATTATAGTTCAGAATATTTGAGTTTTCAAATGCCGAGTACCAATCAAGAAGCATTCTTATAAAATCCACTTGTAAACTTTTAATAAAAAGTATGATTCCCAACTAGATTAATAAACCTGGTTTGTTTCTGTATAACAAGTATTAACAATATATAGGGGAGACTTACAGCAGCTGCAGAGACCGCAGCAGTGGTCTGCCCATCACCAAATGCGGTCCAAGTTCATACCCCAAGATGGGGCCATCTAATTACCTCATTCATGGGGTAGGTTGTAGGTTCATTGAAACCTAATCACAGAAACAAAATTTTCAAGATGTTTCAGTCATGAAGAGGCAAAAAGGACACACTAAAGAGAAAAGCGTAAGCACTTAATTTACAGGCTTACTGTATCTTTAAAACCGTTTTTTTTTTTTTTTTTTTTTTTTTTTTGGCGGGGTGTGTCCTGGAAAAGGACAATGTAACCTTGGGTAACTGTCCTAAAGCTGCAATTTTTCTTAAAAGCATAGTATTGCAATTACAATTTTCCTGTCTGCTTTCTGCCTGTATCTCTTCTAGTCTCCCTCAGGAACAAGTCCCAGACTTGACGAAGTTGGGAGGTGCTCACACAACTTGGCAAAGACATCTCATATTCTCTTAAAAGATGTCTACTCCAGATCCCTCAGCACACCTTACCTCATAACTCTCCTCCCCAGTCAGTCAACAGATTTCTTCCCACTGTGCACTAATTCACTTACCCCAGGAGGTTATACTCTCCAAGTCCCTAACAACGGGGTGGGGGGAGCAGTGGGACAGAAGAGATCTCCTTTAGAATGTGCACTTATTTTAAATACACTTCTACAATGAGCTCCTCTACTATTCAATTCCCACGTGCCCATTTACAACTGGACTCACAGATAAACAAGTGGGATGTATTTACACACGTGAAAACCCAGCAGCATGAGGTCTTCTTGAGTACAATGAGGGCTGTTGAAGGTGAACTTTCTGCGGTGCTAATTCATGACTCAATCATCCACTGAAATCAGAATTCTTGCTTTAATACTTCACGTAGAGAGAGGTAAAAGCTACGAGGAAAGCTGAATGAGATTCAGGGCTTCTCTGAAACTCAGACAGAAATGGTGAGGACAATTGAGCGGAAGTTAGAAGCGAAGATGATCAAGGAGAGTGACCACCACGATCTGGAATCGGTAGTGCAGCAGGTGACGCAGAACCTGGAGCTCATGACCAAACGGGCTGCGAAGGCAGAAAATCAGGTCACGAAGCTGAGACAGGAAGTGAACTTGCTCCAGGCACAGGTCTCCGACTTCAAGCGGGAGAACGAGGCCCTGCGGTCAGAACAGGGCGCCAGCCTGACAGTGGTGAAGCAGAATGACGACAAAATGATAAAAGAAACATCTAAGGGCTGAAGAGAAGGTCTTGGCTTAGAGTTCCCATGCTGCAAGAAAAGAAAATAAAAATCTTGCCAACCTCATAAAATCCTTGATAAGATAAAACCTAAGTTCAGTATTTACCCTCTAAACTCATTTCCTGTGGTGCTAAGGGTTGTTTTGAATCCATTGTCAACTGTGCCTTCTAAGAAACTATCTTTTGAGATAGAGGATTAAGATTTTTACAACTAAGCAAGTTCAGGGCAGTCAGATGAGCCAGATGTGGCAGCAGTAAACCAAATCAGAGCATGTGCCCAAGACCAGAGGCAGACAACTGGGCTTTCAGGAAGTGTGTATCTAAAACCTTTTCTTCGAGTTATACTTTAAGAAGCATCTTGAGTGTTTTTTTTGGGGGGGGCGGGGGTCAGTGTTAAAAAACAAATAAATGTACATGCCAGTCTTATCTGGAACAGCTATCACTTAGCTTTCTGCCTCAGTAACACAGGTTTTAGAACCTGGAACAAGAGTATCATTTACCTTTATGGGCAGTCCAACTGAGCTGGAAAGGAAAAAGGAAGTCAAATCTAAGTAAGCTCAATAATGAAAAAAGCAGTACTTACAAAGAAGGGGAATGATAACTTCAGAGTCCCCATAGTTGTCACATTAGAAACACAGTGACTTCAACATCATCAGTATTTATTGGGCACCTACCATGTGCAGAGCACTATGCTAGGTGCTGGGGAATACACAGCTAATCTGACAGCTTGCCCCGCAGAGGGTTTACAGTCTAGGAGCGTGTTTGTGTACTTTAGGTGTAATAACCTTTGCCCCCATTCAACCTCCCAAAAGACAAGTGCACTAGACTTGGTTTCAAATTTTTTTATATATATATTCTTCAGCATAAGGTCTCACTTTGTAGTTCAGGCTGGTCTCCCACTACCACAACCCTCCTGCCTCGGCCTCTTCAGTGCTGGGATTATAGGCATGCTACACCACATATGACTAGACTTGATTTCTTCCTTTCAGTACAGCAGCTTCACATAAAAACCTTAAATCTGAAAGTCTTTTACTTGTAAACAAAATTTATTTTCATTAGAAAAATGCTGAATATTTATTGCAATTAATAAAGTTCTCATATAGTCATTATTCTCATGAATCTTTCTTATGAATCTGTATTTTTGAAGTAAACAATTTCCCAGATTGCATCAAAAACATGCAAGAACTTTTTGAAAGCAATCTCTAAACTTTTGGCAGTCTCATGTATGTACAGAGGCCCTCTGTAAAAGCAAGGAAAACTTCTGAAAAGGACAGGTGTGTGGTTACAAAGTTCACAGCTTACGGTTCCCCTTCCCATAAGCCCTTTACATGTTGAGTCAAAGTATTTTTAAAAAGCCCTCCAGTAACCTATAGCCCCCAGATCCAAAGCTTTAGATTCTTACAGTCCATTTCTTAGGTTAATTGGCTGTCCAAACCCACCAAAGTCTAAATTCATTCCTGGAAAGAAAACTCAAAATGATTTGTTTCTCTATTTCACCCTTAGGAATTTCTGAAGCCTTTTGTTTCCCTTTCAGTAGAAAGAAACTAAAATACAATTAGTTACAGGAATAAAAAATACTGATTTAGCTCTTGTCCAGGTTAAAACTACTAGAGAAGGGTATTTTGGTGCTACACATTAAAATGAACTAATTTCTAACTGAATATTTAGTTAAGTGTCTTGCAATTATTCTCTTCTCAGAATTATCTCTGGGCTCAGACATTTATGGTCATGCTGAGGTTGTTACTAGTTTGAAGCCTTATATCTTTGAAGAGATTTAACAAGACTTCTGTACAACTAAGAAGATGTTTTTCAAACTAAATACAGGTCAGTTTTTCAAAATGTATAATTATGACAGGCTAATAAAGCTGTACACACCCAAAAATTATTTCCTGAGACACAGGTTTCTTATTCTCATGATGGAGCACACTTAACCTGAGCAGTTTCCCTTAGTTAAGTAAAAATGAAAATTTTATCCACATTGCGCAGATTGGGCTTTCCTATTTCTCCTCACCAAACTGCAAAAATATGGCCTTGACAAATAAACTGCAACTCAATTATCAATATTAATCTCTAGACAAATAGATCCACTCAACATAAAAGTGTAATGAACTATTAAACCAGAACTCAGGTCTGGTTCAAAGTGCAGGCTTATCATACATGTTTAATGAGAACATATCCAATTTTTTTAAGCTTTGACACCTGTAGATTTTAAGTTTACATATCCAGTGTTTGTACAAAGTAAATGAAGTTAAATGTAACAAAGTAAACAAAGTAAAAATGTAACAGAAATAAAGTCAGATCCCTAGGAATTATGTGTCATTCAATCATACTCCCATCTTTATATTACTAAGGTGATTTTCTGTTCAATCTCTTTGCGGAACAGATAAACAAATTTCACAGACATGTGGTTTAAAAGGATCACCACTTAAGTTAACTTGTCCAAAGCTGTCATTTTTCAGATACAGAACCTGGGACCCTGAAGCTTAGCTGGGAGCCAAGCCCAGTAGAGTATTCATGATACTGTATCTTTGACCTTCTTGCCAGTTTGAAAAACTCATATGCACATGCTTTTATGTGACCCATACAACCACATACAACAGTTCTTAAAGTGAATATAACTAAAGAGTGATGTATTTCATATGAAGTAAATAAAATGCAAATATTAGTGAATTTAAATTGCTCTTATAAAGTATTAGCCCTTTTGGTTGCTGCTGATAGTATAACTAGTGTTTCGTCTTGCTTTTAAGGATTCTTGCAGTTGCAATCTTTGAAATGCTTATTTGCCCACTAAATAGTTATAAGAAATATGATTATGTAGCCAATCATATATTATGTATTCATCTCAAAATTGCTTTTATGTAATTTATTTTTTCCTATATTTTAATATAAGTAAAATTAATTTATGCAGTGAATAAGATGAGATAGTACTACTACCTGAGCTGTTGGTAGCTTCAAAATTAGTCACTTCAATATAGTTAAGAAACCACTTCTAGAAGTGATAAAAAGGGTATTCAGGCAACAAAAAATACTACAAAAATTGTGAGGGAACTACAATTAGTCTTCAAACTGAGATAAAACAGAAGGAACAAGCTACAGAATCAGAAGACTTTAGTTCAAATTTTAACTTCATTCTTTGCTATTTACTTTGGAGCAATTCAATAAGCTTGGGTTTTCGGTTTTTCATCTGCAAAGAGCTAACATTGGTACTACTTACCTCATTAGGTACTGAGTGTAACATAACAATAAAATACACAAGAGGGCTTTGTAAACAGAAAACCACAATGCAAATATTATTACTACTTCAAAAATTATTAAAATATGGACCTAGAGGAAGCTGGAGGTAATTACCACTTAGTGGCTCTTGGCATGCTCACAAGAACAAACTTAATTAAATCACAGGGTTAAACTATGCAAACATCTTCAACTTTCAATGACAATGCTGAAAAAATTATACAAAGGTGTATAAAGAAAGGTTTTTACAAAAAGCACTGAAAGACACATTTGGTTAATTTGAGATTTTAACATGAGTGTGAATGATTACAGCACAGAAAGAGGTATTCGTTCTGAGTGGAAAAAGCCACTAGTCATCTAAGAAAAACAAGCTTTATGGGTATTCCTAAGACAAATGAAATAAATTCGATCTCTTCTGGCTTTTTGTGAACCAAATTTATAGCAAAGAATTTTATTAATTTTTCTTGTAAGCTAATATACCCTAAAAGATATAAGAGAATGTCTACTTCTGAGTCACATCCAGTGTGGACTTTCATAAATGCAAAGCATAAAATTCAGAATTCTTATGAATCTACAGGCACCTGAAAGTTTTTAACAATCCTTCATGCTCACTTTATATTCCATAAAGAATAATGGAAATACAGGGAATACTTGAAATATATGTATTTTTACAAATAATTATGTAGTTGCCATATTTTTGTAATACTCTGCTCTGGTGACTTTTTTTGTTTGTAAAACCATTTAACCCTTCCCTTCAGTATGTTTTTGACATTATTACACACACACAAAAGTAACAACCTCTCCCACAAAAAAAAAAAAAAAAAAAAAAAAAAAAAAAAAAAAAAAAAAAAAAAAAAAAAAAAAAAAAAGAAGATGATAATGATGCAAGGGAAGGAAAGAGATAAATGAGATATAATTCATTAAGTATAAAAATATGTTGTTCCAAGTTCAGAATAATTTAATAACTTTTTGTTATTTCGTATGTATCTGGAAATGGAATAGATACATGTCCTGATCCTGTCACAAGAGGTAGAATGCCAGCATTTGGTACAACGTTCCAAGATAGGGTCAGAGTGACATTTCTGTTTCCCCTATGAAGAGATATAATAAACAGAAGTCAGCAAAAACATTTGTACTTTGATAGAAATATTTCGAATCAAGCACTGAGGCATCAAATACTTTATAACTAGCTATTCTTAACAGGAGTGCTAATCTGCAAGAACTATTTTCTTGTGTCATGGAAAAACCAAGGGTACTGCTAGATACCAGCCTTCCATGTACAGTACCTCTTAATAACCCACCTATACTCATAGTTGTAGTTAAAAGAACTATGACCCAAAAAGCTTATATGAGTAATACAGTGAACATAAAACAAGACTTGTACTAGGAACCAGAACACAATGACATAAAATCTAAATTTTGTCATTATTTAAACGTGCAAATCTAAAATCAAAATCTACCATGGTTTGAAATTTTCATTTGGGAACAGAGGTTTGGTGTAGTCAAAATAAGTCTCTTCTAAAATCCTTCCTGATACTTACACAACATTAAGAAGAATCAATTACCTGATTCCTTCTGATTCTCCCATTTTGTAAAGAATAAATGTGAAGCTTAGAAAAGAACCAAACTTCGGTATCAACTCCTGAACCTAATGCACGCACTACTTTTTCATTTAGATTTACGTTTAGAAAGAAGAGATTAGGTTCCCATGCAACTCAGAGAAACTGTAGGTTTTATTATTTTGGCTATTATATTTCACATACTGAAAAATAAGTAATTACTGTACTTATTTTATTTATTATTTATTTTTGGTACAGGGGATTGAATTCGGGACCTTGTGCTTGCGAAGGTAGGCAGCAGAACCACTGAACTAAAATCAACAGCCCTATTGTACTTATTTTAGATCCCAATTTGTATTTCTTTACAATCTTCCAGTTCAGGTCTATGTAAATGCTTGACTTTAAATTTTTCTTTTAACTTCATATTTTTCTTTGAAATAAAAACACATTACATCTCTCTTTCACCTATTAAAGTAGAAAACAAAAAAAAAATTGCTCACTTGAGACCATTTCCATCATCAAAGAAGAAATACTTTGTTTTCATGTCTTTCAACAGCAGCCTTGGATTATCACCTCTCAGAACAATCTTGTCCCAAAGGACAACTTGGTTCAGGGCCTACATTACAATGAAAAGTAGATAATTCATTAGAAATAGCATTTTATCACTTCAATTTAAAACATTATTAAGTCCCTCCACCCCTACTCACAAAAGCAAGGGAGGGTAGGAGAATGGGAAAAAACAAGAACTAAGATATATCATGTACAGGTACAAACTCCCATGATGAATGTAATCACAATGTATACCTAAAATATATCAATAAAGTTAATTTTAAAAATATATCACTAAGCAAAAAGTTTCACCTGAGTGAATCCAACATTGCTAACTTACTAAAATCTTGTTGCATACAAAATGATAGCAAGTAGATATAAATAGAAAGTGGGCAAAGTTTCTTGGAGAGAATATTTCCCCCCCAAAAAATTACTTTTGTTAAGAACTATTTTACACGCGGAAGAAAAAGATAAATAAGATATTCGTTAAATATAAAAAGAAAACATTTCTTTTGCTACAAGTCAACTCTATTACATAGGATCCTCATAAGATACCAAAAAGTTTTACATCTATATGTACTCCCAAATATGAGACTTTTGGAGGAGCAGAGGGATTAGAATCCATAACAGGAAAGTATTCTTTGAAGTCTCTTTTCCCAGTAAAACTTAACATTCTCTATCTCAGAGTGAATCCTGGTGGTACTGGGGAAACAGTGAGCCAGTCCCTATTCCTCACACAGCTAATAGAGGTTTACTGCTGCTAGATTATGGTATGAATAAGACTGATGAATCTTCACATTTTACACTGTCAAGAAATTACTAAGAAATTATTTTTTTCCTTTACATTAAAAAATTATGTGCATCATTGTATTCTCATGCCTAAATTCTAGGTCAGACAATTCATTAAAGCCTCTATATTCCAGCATATTAGAAGTAAATTCAATTTTTAAAATTAGGGTTGTGAAATATAAAACACATTTGTGACTGTTATTAGGTCTCAAATGTTTTTCCTATGTAATCATCCATTAGCTTCTGAGACGGATTTCTCAGTGTGTGACGAAGGCACTAACATAAAATGTGAAAAAGCTATCTCTAAAAGAAGTTTAAAGCGACTAAAGCTTCTTCCTAACACTAAGCAGAAATTATTAAGACTGAAGAGTCCAGAGAATCAAAGATATGCTGAAATTAAATGGTTTTCATATATATCAGTTTTTACCAAAGCAATAATGTATCAAATACCAAATTAGAATTAACTCTTACTAGTTATACCCGGGGGGTAAACTAGAATTATAAATATAAATGTAGATATACTCATCATAAAAGTAATATTTATTTTAGTAATTTGTTGAAACCAGCAGAATAATATTTTCATTTGTAGTCTATTTTTCAAGAATAGCTTTTCCTGTTTGTCTCTTTTGATGTTTTGTCTATTCTGAAGAGCAAGGATGAAAACTTACATATCATAATATTTCTACTGCCTAACAACACATATCTGGCATAAAATTTATGTTACTATTATCAAGGATATATAAAGAACTCAAAACAATCAGTCCCCCCAAATATAAAGACCCGATTCAAAAATGGGCATCTGAAATGAACAGACATTTCTCAGACAAAGAAGTAAAAGCAGCAAGAAAATATTTGAAAAAATGTTCCACATCACTGGTCATTCAAGACATGCAGATGAAAACAACACTGAGATTCCACTTCACCCCACAAAGAATGGCTGCTATCAAGAAATCACACAGTAACAAATGTTGGCGGGGTTGTGGGAGAAAGGAACCCTTCTCCATTGTTGGTGGGAGTGCAGACTGGTGCAACCACTATGGAAATCAATATGGAGATTCCTCAAAGAGCTTGGACTGGAGGTTCCATTTGACCCAGCCATCCCTCTGTTGGGTATCTTTCCAAGAGAACTAAAAGAATCATATCACAGAGAAGTATGTGCACCCATGTTTATAGTGGCACAGTTTGTAATAGCTAATACTTGGAAACAGCCCATTTGCCCATCTGTTGGAAACTGGATAAAGAAGATGTGGTTTTTCTATAAAATGGAATATTACTCAGCCATAAAGAATGAGAAAATAGATTCATTCATAGGAAAATGGATACATATTGAAGATATACTCCTAAGTGAAATAAACAAGTCACACATGTGTAAATACCGAATAATTTCCCTGGTGTGAATAATCTGCAACAATGCATAAGATTCTAACAAAGTACTAAAATTTTTAATAAATACATTAACACTGATCATGTTAGCCTTTGGAAATAGTTCAAATAAATGCAGACCCACCCTTAACTACAAATACACCAAGGACAGACTAATTTCAGTAAACATAACATATAAGCAACATGTTAAATTCACATTTTTCATTTTCATTTTAAGTCTATCACTTTATATGTGCAGTACCAAGACTAAAATAGAATCTAAGTATTTCACATAAATATTCTAATATGTATAGTGCTCTACCTGCAGCAAAAGCTCTAAGTCATACTTGAGCAATAGCTTTCATTCATAATTGTTTTAATAGGTGGTTATATAACAATTTAATAATTTTGAGTTATAAAACTTATAATCTGTAGGGCCAAAAATTTAGCCCAGTGGTGCTGTACCTCGAAAGTGCAAGATCATGAGTTCAATCCCCAGTACCAAAACAAAACTTATGATGATCTGTAATTTGTAATTTAAAAGACCAGTTCAAGTAGTTATAAACTGTGAATATGACTCAACTCTAAAACAAAATATCCCACAATAAGCAGAGATATTAGTTGTAGATATATGACAAAATCACCAATACAGTGAGATGTCAACTACTTTTCAAGAAGAAAAATATTTGGCACTGAGATAGATTCTGCAATTATCTGTGATGATTAAAAAAATTTTAATAATCTTTATAGTTTTTGATTGCATATTTTTGTAACAAGCTTTAATACAGGTCTCAAATTTTGTTGACTCAATTATGTTAAGTAGCTTTCTAATTATAACGTAGAAAGAGAATATTTTAACTTAAAGAGTATGGAGCTGAGAAGCAATACTACCTCCTCACCATACAGGAAACACAAAGTTTAGGAACATCTTTTCTGGTCATACCACTGGCAGTCTACTGCAAGAATTTTTTTTCCCCGTATCATTTATTTTTATTGAATTTGTTAATGTAACAGAGTTTTTGAATTGCCAAACCATGCCCGAGAATCCAAAGAAAGAAATGGTACAATGGACTGCCTCATCTACCCATCGTAAAGTATATTAAAACTTCATACATGTGCATTTTTGTAACTTCACAATCTTAAAAAGTTATAACAAGAGCTGGAATTTTTTTTTTTAATTTTATTGAGTTTATTGGTACATTTTAGGGATACAGTACAGTTACATTCATTGTTGGGATCATGTACCTTTACATGGCAAGTCTTGATTCTCATTTTTTCCCCTTACCTCTGCCCTCCCTTCACCCCCTCCTCCCCTCCCCATCTACAAACACTTTATTTTCATCTTTTCATTCTCTCACATTTTTTTCTTTTCCCTTTAAATCTTCTATAGGTTTTCAGATTTCCTGAACACTGTGCCATTAAATAAAACCTCATATTCATTTCACTCCACCTCTCAATAATATAACCCCCAACAAAATTTTGTGGGACAATCATACTTTTCAAAGAAAATATGTGACTCAAGGTGCAAGAGATTACTTGTTTTTGAAGTCTTCAGTTTAAACAAGAATCTCTTATTTTTCACGTAATCATCCAAACTCCCCTGGCTGGCTCAGCTACTCACCCATATACACCAGAAGGCAGGCATTATACCTGCCACCTCAAATAATGTCAATATTACTGCCCACAGTGGCCAGCAGGGGCTGTCAGGAGGCACTGTGTGTGGCCTCCTAGGAATCTGATTCCTGCACCAGCATGTTCATCAAGACTGAAATCCTTTAAGAAAATGCCCCAACACTGGGATAGTTGTACTTACCTACTGCTGCAAGAATTTTTGATTACAAAATATTCTGAATATAAACTCTCAAAATATGCAACTGTTTATTAAAGTACACACATAGTAAACATACTATTTATTATATAGTATCAATAGTGAATGTGAATTTCTAATAGACTTCTTAACCAGTGTTGAATTTTCTCATCCAACTTATTAGACTAAGTTATTTTTGTTTTAATAGTTTTTTTTTAACATTAACTTCGCATCTGGAAAGAAGACTCCAATCTATCGTTTTCCTATTATTTACATATACCTGGAACTAATATTAGCATTATCTTCAATCTGTAATTTCTTTGCTAGAATCTTTTAAATCTATCTTCCATTTCTGTGCTATTTAAAGCAAGGCATATAATCCACTTACATAGTGCATATACTACAATATTTTGCAAAATTCTGAACATGAATGAATGAATATCAGGCATATAGTCAACCTGTAGGCTTAATGAATTCCCCTTCTTCCTTCAGAATTATTTGCATGTCACAGTAGCCATGTGACCATCTAACTCAATAACTAAAAACAAGTATTAATGTGTTCATTTATAAAGTACTGGTAAAGCTTAAATTCTTTCCCTTTTAATTTTAAATTGAAAATACACTAAGAGAAACTCTCAAAATTCTGAACTGTTTTCCTTATATACCTGTGGATTGCTCTGCATATATACCATTCTGCAAACCACAAAGCTACAGAAGTATTAAACACAGGAAAAAAAAACAACAGAGAGGCTACCAAAGGAGATAAACAGAGCCACCACTCTGTAAGACTTTCATTTTCTTACTAAGCAGCTCAGGGCAGATTTTTTGACTGTAACATTTACACTCATAAAGAATAATGTTTTAAAAACTGTTAAAATATACTTATATGTAAGTACTTACATTATTTTTTGTTGAATATTCTGCTGATAAATAAAGAAACAACTGTTTAACATTCCAATCAAATATATTCTCTAGATGTACACAAATTAAGGAATATATAAATTATAAAATAGCACACATCTGGTAAACAGATCTTAGTTATTCCTTAATTATCCACAGCAATGGAGATACGGTCTAAAACATACTGAGCCACTATTTAATAAAATATCTACAGATGATAAATAAATTGAAAAATCCAGCCCATTTCAAATGACAAAGTCAAAAAAATATTTGCATCTACAACTATATAGGCAAGGTTTATAAGCTGAAGTATTTTAATAAGAAAATAACAAAGAAAACCAAAATCTAATTTAATGTAGCACCAACCCACCATGTTCAAAATTAAGAGGATTTAATATTCAAGCATGTATCATTCCACTGGAGCTCTAAAGTACTACCAACCATTAATACTAAAATTTAATAACACGCAAGCATGAACTAGGTTCAAGTAATTAACCAAGTATAAATTGTACAAGTTGTTTTGGTTATTGTGCAAGTAGAGATCAAAACATCTCTATACATAAGTGCACAGAGTGCAGAACACTCTAGAATTAACTACAAGACTGATGCCACCACAGAGAAATGAGTTGAACTGATATTGGGAACCTATTAAGTATTACATGCAAAGTGCTGTCAATTTATTATGTACATTTACAAGTGGATAGCAACAAGTTTGTTACATTACACTTTTAAATATGTATAATCTTGAGGAATGACTCATTTAGAACTGAGACTTCTAAGACAGTTCTTTGAAAGAACAGGTATAATTTCAAGGATTAGTAGCATTAAGAAAATCTGAATAAACTACAAATGAGGTTGATAATATAAATATGGTAGTCAAGATATTAGTACTACTTTTATGCTAGATATGAACTCTTACAAAAGCAATTTTTTAAAATGACATGACTGAAAAGTATGCAGTTTAGCTTAAGACTTTTCTGATGGCACACTCTAGTTCCTAAAATGGTACCTTCAGAACTTATTTCTAGTGTACTTCTAAATCCAGTAATTTATTCCTGAAAAATTACAATCTCATGAGACCATAGAAGAGCAGGTAAACCTCCCAAGCATATGATCTGATTAACAGTTCAGACAGTTGCTTTATATACAAAATCAGACTGCTCCCCTTCCATAACCATCTTTAATCATAGAGTCAGAGAAAGGCAAGTGCTTTTAGGTCAAATATGGCAATGAACAGAGTGACAAGATATTAACCTATGATCCTAAAGTTTAAGTGGTCAAAATAATTAATTGATCAAAAGATTGAAACTTAAGATAAAGAGAAAACATTTAAATCATTTCCATTAAAGTAATTCTTGTTAAGGTTTCAATTGACTCTTGCAAAAGTTCCTATAAAAAAGAATTATCACAAAATCCTCACATAGTTTAACAATAACTATTTTGATATCGGCCTTTCAAACTATTACAAATGCAATTAACTTTTTAAACATACATTTCTACTATACTTCTAGGCAGGATGAGCTCTGATAACATTTTCCTTCTTTCACCCAAATAAGCTAGTTATTTTTGTTTTTGCTAAGCATATTTAAACTTCCTTACATAGATTTCAATCAATTTAATGTTTCCATGAAGAATTTAAAGTACATTCATACAACAGACTCATGAATCCATGAAGTTTTCTCTAAGAATAAATGTGGAACTATTAACACTACTTTACTGATGAAAATATAAGTACAAGAATTTCCGGTTTGGCTGATTATTTAATAGAGACAGTGACAGACCCTGTTCCCCAAATCACTAAATAACATGAATCTTACTTACAAAACCACAGAAAAAGCATGAAATAATTTCTTAAAGGATATCCACACTTATATCAAATGTAATGAATCCCAGATCACTTCTTTCTCTAGGTCCAGTGAAGTCTTCTACATTTTTTCTAGAAGTAAAGATAAAAATTTTACTCTCCTTTATATAAAACATCATAGGAAATTCACATAAATAAAGTGAAGGACTGGATCTAGTGTGCATGAGTGAAACAGCATTTCCACAAAGACACAAGTAAAAACCAGAGAAACCTCAAGTATGAAGACAGGGAAATATTCTAATTCAATATAAAAGGTCATCAGCTACTTTCATACACCTTAAGTGACTAAGAGGCCCTAACGGAAGATAAAGACTACTAAAAAAAAAAAAAAAAAAAAAAAAAAAATTTAAAAAAAAAAAAGTATGAGTAGAAGAAAGGTACATATGACAAGATGGTGTAGAAAAAGAGTGACAGCTGCTTATTTATTGAGCTCTTACTACATATCAGAGCAGCTAACATTTTTCAAATCGTCTCGTCTCAAAGTAAGCGTGCCACTTAAATTCATTTTAAACAAAAGAAAATTAAGGCCCAGAATAGTAAGAAACTTGCTCATGATAACATCTAGCATTTGTTCAGAGTTCAATATGAACCAAACTCTTTAAAACCCCCTTAGATCTCCCAGTGGCACCGCTGATCTCCACCCCAGGTCTATTTAAATTTCAAATAGTATCTAATAAAAATCGGTACAGAAGACCCAAGGGGAGGGGGACAGGTGGGGCAGTCAGTCCCTATTATATGACTGGCTTATAGGAGATTTTGACAACCTAAGGTCAGAGGCAGATCCTGTTGGAAAATGGAAGAGCAAATGGTTATGAAGACTGGAAAGTGCTACACACCAAAGACAAGTGGTGGAGAACGAAAAAGAAAAGATCATACTAAAAATAGGCAACAGCGAAATGACAGTCATTTCGAAATTCTTATTTTGGCGTCTTGAAAGATTTATTCAAGCTGATGACTAAAAAAAATACATAAATTTTGAAAGACACAAGAAAACGCTGTGACAGAAGGTTAAAATGTTTAAAAGCCTACTAGTAGATGCATCCTAGCAGTATCTCTAGCCTCGCTTCCGAGCAGCTGCAAGCACTTACTGCGCTGCGAAGGTGGGAAGACAACTGTAAAGGGCGCGTCAAACAGGGACGCTCCGGTCCTAAACGACACAAAAGCGACCACCACCACGTTGCCGCGGCCGCAACCCCGCGGGACCGTAGCCGGGCGCGGGGCAGGCGGCGGGCGGGTTTGCTGTT